TATTTTTTTATTTATTTAAATGTTTTTATGGCTGTTACAAAAAACATAGTTGTTGAAAATGAAAACTAATAAAGTCTAATGTGAAAATTCATTGTTGTAAATATATATATATATATATATATATATATATATATATATATATATATATATATATAATGTTTAAACATGTTTGAAAAATGTTTTACTTTTTATAGTTTTAAAAATATTTTTACAAACCTTAGTTAAGAAGCTAACTTTCATGCATTAATCACTGTAACCAGTTATTTTTAATTTTTTGAATATTTACATTATATAACTTGCATACATTATTATTTATTTAAACTCTATATTATTATTAAAGCAATTTTCTATGGAAAAATGGCTGACTTCAGAGAACTTTTTGTGTATGTGTAAAAGTATAAATCTAGAGTTTAGAATGAGATTAAAAACACTTTTCCATATAATAAATTCTTGAAAATTAAACATTAATTTCTCAAAACTTTTCATGTTGTTGTTTAGGATTTGTAATGTGAATACTGTTTTTCAAAGATCAATATCTGAAAATCAAGATCAGAAAGCATAGTTATTATGCTAGAAGTGAAGCATAAAATCTGTATGTCTTCTAGGAGTTGTGAGTGCATTTGTGAATCCTCCCTGTTCAGTGAGTTCATGAAGTTTGAATAAACCAAGAACATACATAGAATTACTTCTTTGAAAGTATTCAAGAGCCGTAGAGAAAATTATTCTGCCAAACCTTTTTGACAAGATTGTCAAAAGATCTTAAGATAATAGGTCCCAAACAGAAATTTGTGCTTTAGAAGATGGTTATTGAACCCACAAGATTTTAATCAAGGCCATTACACTTTATAACACTTTAAGAATTCTTTTTAATCATTGATAAAGTCAATGACTAGTAATATTCTTTGTTATTATGTATCCCTGTGAGAATTAAACACACTATTAAGACTAGAATAATTGTATCATAATTTGAGTAATAATGTTTATTTATATATATATATATATATATATATATATATATATATATATATATAAAACAAACAAATGCAAGACCACTTAACTGAAAATAGATTGTGTTTTGGTCTTACTAGGCTTCATCAAATCAAAAATGAAAAGTATGTGCATGTGTTTTTGTGTGTATGCTTAAATAATACAAATAACACAAATATATTTCTTTATTTTCATTTTTGATTTGATGATGCCTAGTAAGGGCGAAATGCATAATCCAGTTTGAATGAAACGTTTTCCATTTCTCATATTCTTCAAACTTTGTCTGGATTCTGTATCATAATTGATATTAGTACTATTTCCATTTTATTTTCAGTGTTTACCCTTAATGAGGGACAATGTCAATGTTATAAATGAACTTTTATATTTAATGTTCTCATAGCTGCATCCTTTGTAATCTCTGTATTTCTGAAGATTCCCTATTGAGAGACTTAATATTCCTTAATGAGTTATTTTTGGGGACATAATTCTTATTGTTCTTGTCAAACAGTTTATTACCTTAGCTGAAAACCTTGCTCTTATTTTCTCTGAATAAGGTTTTCTTTTGTCCATTTGGCTTTGCAAGTCGCTGTTCAGATCTGGATGGGCCAACTTGTCAATTTATTTGCTTGCAAATTGGTATACTTAATAGGTATATGCAGCAATTTGTACCCTGTATATAAAGAACATTTTTAGTTTGCTGTAACACCCCAGAATGTAATTTTAGTTGATATTATGCTTTAAATATACTTTTTTTTTTCTTTTTTTAAATGCAGTGGGAAGGTAAAGATGGAGCTTTTAATAATTAAACTGTTGTTTGTTAGTCTTTGAGAAGTTCATTATTATTGCACTTACTGGCAGTTTTTTAAATGAAAGTAAAACCTTAGTTAACATATTTGCATTAGTCATCCATATTGTTTCTGATGAACCTTGCATTTGTTTTTTAAAATTTATTAAATTATTACCAGACTTCATTACAGGATAAAAAGAAGCAAATTCATTTCTTTGAATAAAAAGGTTACAATATCAATTACTCTGATAAGATTTTTTTTTAAATTTACACTAGCTGGTATTATAATCATTTGTAAAGTTTATGCTACATTTGATTAAAAATCTCTCTACTACAATTTCAGTGAAACAATAACATTGATTTTTCTAGTTTTTCATCTTCATAATTGCTTTTGGAAGAAATTTGCATTGTCTCTCACACACACACAATTTTCAAACATTATTTTTAGTGGACACTCTAATTTTAAACCATATCTATTTTGTCTACTGGCCTGCTTACTCAAAAAGACTTAATAAAGAAAATGTACCCTTTGGCTGGATTCAAACCTGCATCTCGTTTTGCAGGAGAAACCACCATCTGATCCGGCATGCTTCATCCATGAAGAGCTTCACAATCGAGCAAGTTTCTAGTTTGCCTTTAAAGCATATTCACTCGCCGATGACATTTTCTCCTGCAAGTTCAAATCCTGTTAGAAAGCGTATTTGTTTTATTAAGTTTTCTTGAGTGCACAGGCCCACAGACAAAATAAATTTTGTTTAAAAAAAAAAAAAAAATCAAAAAAAAATCTACTCAATACAGGTATCCAGTTATATTATTTTTAGGAAGTCTTTATTTGTTAAAAATTTATTTTCAATTATATTAAAGATGTTCATTGACTTCATGAAGCTAATCAGAAGGTATCTCTGTACAAATTTGTTCATAAACTATATTTTATTTTACAAACAACTTACAAGCAAAGTTTGAAGCTGCTACTTGTCATCCTCTTTACCTCTTTCATGTCATTTTTATCTATAGAGTGAAAAATCCAAAGCTTACTGGAGAGGCTAGACATTGTATAATTCAGCTTCTACATTCACTATCTTTCAAGAACTGTCTTTGAGTGGGCCTGTTGAAACTGAAGAATCTTTTTCTTTTAAAGTATGTTAGAGATTAAACCAGAATTTCATTGATTTCTGACTTATTAGCTTTAATTTAAAACAAGCCTCAAAATTAGTCCAGCTGTATCAATCCACATCAACTTTGAAATTTAATCTCTTTTTGAGAATAACTTTCAACCATGTCTATAACTCAAATTACCTGATAATACTGAAAAATTAACATCTTTCTGTAACAAATAAAAGTTGATTTTTTTTTTTTTTTTAATATTGACCCACTAAACAATATTTACAATTAATACATTGTAAGTTATTGATTTTAATCATGTTTGTCTTGATTACTTGTAGTAAATATATTCATTATTTCATATTCTATAACTTGTTTTTGTCTAATATTTCAGATTAGAAGTTTATTGCTTGATGTTTTTCAATTAAATTCATTAAAGATAGAATTGATAGATGCAAGGTCTCTGATTCAATTCAGATTGTTAGTTATCTCCAAGGATAACAATTTATATAGTAGCCTTTACAGTATATGATCATACCTATAACAATATTGAAATATCTGCAACAACTATTATTATTCATAAATTATCACAAGTGTTTCTCACCCATTAATCTTAACTATAGTGTAGTTATTAGTTTCATCTATAGTTTTAATATAATAAATCAAACAAAAAATATATATAACTAGTTTGTTTGCTGAATATGAACCCATGAACCATTTTTTAAATTTTCATTAATATGAAATTTACATCATAATTCAATTTTGGATTGCATGAATTCTTTTGTCTATTTTTGAGATGAGGTATGAAGTAATGAATATAATCTTACAAATACTTATAAGGAAAATAAAACTTGAAAGTTGAATTATTTAAATTCAATAAATACAGATTTCATTTCTTTTATTTTTTATATATTATTTGAGAAAAGGATTTCAAGAATTATCAAATATTTACAAAAATAAAATTATGCATAAAAAATTTGTTGAAATTAAATTTTGCATATCCTCAAATTAGACATTTTCTTTCCTTATTTTTGTAATTATCATTTTTACAAGCTTGTAAAAATGGCAGAGTATATGCTGATATTTATGTACAATTTATATAAATTATCTTTAATAATACTTAATAATCTGATGACATTGAAGGTTTGGATCTGAAAACAAAGCAAATTATTATTGATCATTTTTAATTACATATCAAATTTAACATGTTACTTTTAAAAAATGTAATTTTTGACATTTATTCTTAGAATTAACATTTTTAAAGCCCTATTTAATGCATTATATGCATCTGCATTTCTCCTTATTTTATCTGTAAATGTTATGTATTAAAGATAATTTTTTTTAATTTCAATTTAAAATATGCTTAGGAAGAGGAAACAATATTGAATAACTTAATCATCTGATATATTATTCTCTGTATCATAAAGTTATGTTTTTCTAATATTCAGATAGGGAATGTTTATTTTTAACTATCAGAAATTTGATTTTGATTTTTATCCTAAATTTTTAAAAGTATTTTCACAATCATTCAATTTCAAATATATATTTATTTATAATGGATTGAGCATTTAACAGGTGTTGTGCTATTCAGTTGTAAATTAAAGTTTGAGTTTTAGCATAAATTGTTTAAAATGAAATGTTGAGAAGCTAAATATTGTAAAATACAGAATTGTAATAATTTTGGGTATATTATGAGTTATATAAAATATTTGTTTTATAAGGAGTATTAAATAATTTTGCTACATTGCTTTGTATATTATTTAAATTTTAAAAAGTAATTCCTTCAAACAAGCCTACAGTATTGCCCTATCTTTATTGATAAATGATTTTATATGAATTTCCTAACTATTTCTTATGACTCATGGTAACTGAACATTTTAAATTTTAATGAATTCTCTCTCTCACTCACACATAGATTTAACTTTGTGATAGATCCATCTCTCTTACCTTTTTTTATTAATGTTCATATAAAAAAGACTTGATTTTAATCTAAGAAAAGGTTATTTTGCTACTTGTATGAGCATTTTCTTTAAGCACATTTGAAAAAGTTAAAAATATTAATTTTCTTTTAGTAAAATTGAGATAACTGTTAAATATCTTTTTAAAATGTTTTCTCTTATTTCAGCCTTGAAGCATTCACCTTCAAAGAAGAAGAGTTCAACATCAGGACGACCACGTTTCCCTACAACAAGTGACTTAGCCGCTGATGCTGGTCAACATCATAGTTCCAAGCAGCCACATGGAGAACGTGCTCAACGTACTATAAGTTTTTCAGATGATAGTGGAAGGAAACCAAGTAAGAGTTGCTGTCTCCAGACTCTTTACAACATAACAATTTCTTTATTTTTGCATTTTTTTCTATCCCTCTCATTGATTTTTCTTTTAATAATCTGACCTATTACCATTTTATCTCTCTCTTTCTGATAAAAGGTTTTCAGCAAATACTGTGGTAGTTATTATAATTCTTTTGTGATTAAAAATGCAAGTTTCCATGTTTCAAAAAAATGTTTGGAGCTATATAGCGCAGGTGCTAATGAATAAGAAAAATTATATTTTTCATTCATATGAAACTTTTAAAAACAATTTCAGTTTCTTTGCCAAACTATTTTTTATCCTTTTTCTTTTTTTTGAACAGTTATAATATAAAAGTGTTCTGAAACTAATGATCACTTACATTTAATTGATAGCAATCACTATATATTTTTATCATGTAAAAGAATGCATATACTTATCAAGATTTGTTGAACTTGTTGATCAAATCTATTCTTGCTATAGTTTTATCATAATTTTGAACAATGTTGCGTTTTTATCATAATTTTGAAGAATGTTGTTACATCTATGCTTATATTATTATTTTTTAATTTGATTGAATTAGAATTTAAAACTTTTGGACAGTTTGGGATTTATAAACTAATTCTGTGAAAAAATGTATTGTGCTTGCATTTCATTAAAATTTTATGTAGCTTGATCCACTTTATATTGACTTGTTACTCACACATCACTGTCACAAAAAAAAACAATGTTTGCTATAATTGACTGAAAAACATTAACATTGCCGATCACCCTCTGGTATTCTCATAACACACATTATAGCTTCAGCAATTTTTTAAGTGAATTTATCTATTTCAACTTTAATTTTCTGCATGTATTTCTTGTAAATTTCACATTGCTTTATTTTGATGTCCTTGTAGCTATGGGTGGCAAACCAGACATTGTACCTGACAACCATGCCAATCTATATGCAGGAAGTGATCTACGAGGTGGTGAATATATTTACATTAAAGATGGAGAAAAAAAGATAAAATCTCTGGATTCTTCTGGAAAATCTACATTTGCAGATCATGGAATGGCTGACCGCAAAAGGTAAGCTTTGTCATTATCCTTATAATATCAACAGGGGAAAAATATTTAAAAAGCAAACAATTATCCTAAACTTAACTGGGTGCACAATGTTTTGATAAGGGATGTAAAGTGAGTGATTGGAGAAAATATTCATTAAGCATACATAATATCTTGTATGTTCAGAATGTGCAAAATGCAAGTAATGCATAAAATATTAAATCCTCCATTGCCCTCAAATGACATTTTACTAATTAAGAATCTAATATTATACAAATGATACCTGAAGATATTTCTACCTCATGTAGAATGATATTTAACACAACAGGTTTTCACATATATTTTAGCCATTGTTAAAATATATTAATTAGTGTTTATTTACATAAAACAAACTTTCGCTTTCTATCAAGTAACATTTTTTTAACAACAAATATTTACTTTTTAATTTTTGAATCTATAAAGTAGAAAATATATATAGATATTTATTTATAGCAATTGCTTGATTTTTTTTTTCTTTTAATATATCTTTAACACTTTGACTTGTATTGGTCTGGTTATTTGTATATCATGATAAAAAAGTTAATAACACTGTTCATTATTCTAGAGTGTTTTGAATATAGAGATAAGGACCATAATTGTTGCTTTTGCACCATGGATAGGCTTATTTATATGTAACTCTACTGGAACAGTAATGTTTTTTGTTCTAAGATTTGTTGAGAAAATAGAAATAAACTGAAAGTATTGTTTGGTCTGACAAATATAATGTAATGATGATACTTGACATAAATGTATAAAAAAAACTAAAACAAACTAGCAAACATAATAGACTGTTAACTGCAAAAAGGAAAAGAAAGATCTGATTTGTTTACAGAGAGCAAACAACAAAGAAGTTGTTAGCTTCATTTTATTTTTATAGCAATGCAATCATCAAAATATTCAATAATTGGATTCAGACTCTCTTGATATTTTAAAGAAACCATATCTCTTTTCCACTTATTTCTTCAAAAAGTTTTTTAATCTAAAATTTCATGAAAATCTGATAGAAAAAAGATAATGCCATTTAATTTTATCTACCTAAGCAATTGAAAAATGTTGTTAGAGACCCTGTATGTGTTTATGTATGTATACGTTTGCAGCCTAACAATGAAAAAATCATTTTATGCAACAAATATTTTTCAAAATGATCAATCTCCTTTGTCAGTAAACTATTAATTGCATAGATCAAACATCATACAGTGAAGTCAGCTGCTAGGTTGGAACAAGATAATTGGAAGTTTTTCCATTTCATTAGTGCAAGCAGTTTTTTGCATTGTTCCCTTCTGTTAATTTATATACATATAATTTTAAAACTCTTGTCTCCTCTTTTAGATGCTGTTTAAATTTTTTAATTACTCTTGTTTTATCCCTCTCTCCTACCCAGTAACCATATTAAAGCAAAAATGAATAAACACAATTTTCATGTCATTGTACTCCATGATTTCATATTCTTCCATTGCACTGCTTAAGCCAGCTACATCATCAACAGTATTTCTGGGCTGCATCCAGTTTCAACCCAAATTTTCTTCTAGCGGTCTGAATCTCAAGGATGAATTGTGGTTTCAAGTCCTCATTTGATAATCAAGAATAGAAGGTAGCCATGGCGACATTCAGGAAAAATACTCAAGCATTGAGAATAAAACTGAGAGTAGTTCATACAACAGTCAGAAGACATCTAATACAAACTGACAAAGTGATTTGACTATCATCTTGCAATGTTTTGCTTGTTCATTTCAAAAATGACTTTTCTTGATCATGGACTTATTGTTGGTAAAAAGTGTTTTTTATATGATAATCAGAAACCTGCCTAATTCCCTTCTCAGTCTTCCCAAACTCAGATCATCACCCCCATCCAAATATTCTGATCATTTTATGGTATTATTATGGAGTAATCCATTACAGCCTCTTTCAACTTGTGAGACTATCATGAAAGAGATCGATTGTCATGATTTAAAACTGTTTCATCAAAAGTTGAAAATATTTTTACCAGTAGTGGTGAATAGAAAAGGGGCCTATCCTGCTAAATGGTAATGCAAAATTTCACAAACCACCCAGTAAAAATTGATGTAATCCAGATCCTTCCAATTCACCTGAACTGTCCTCTACTCATTACTACTTTCTTTAGGCCTTAGATGCATAAACATGCCAGCAGGTGTACACTAATGCAGACCAAATCTAAAATACCTTCCAGCAGTTTGTCAACTCCCTCATCCCAGTTTTTATTGTGATGAATTACATTAAATGCCAGATCTTTGGCAACACTTTGTTGATTCTAGTGGTGTTTATATGTTCCCTGTCCAACCAAACAAAAATGAATACATGCCATTTGCAGTCCAACATATTTCTCAAGTTTGAATGAACAAAGTTTTTCTGGAACACTTCTAGAAAAACTTCTCATATTTGTTCATTGAAATACTGAGATTTGGGGAAGTCAGTCAAGCCAAGAACTTTTCTGCTTCCTTTATACTTTCACTAATGAAGTTGATTGAACAGAGTTATGACTTTAAAAAAAAATTCAAATTCAAAAATGGCCTTTTATTTTGTTCAAACTTGATAAAAATTGTGTCAGGTTTTGGACATATATGGCCTTAAGATACATAAAGCAAATTAACTCATAGTAAACTGCTATAGCTCAACCTATTGATCCATTGAACTGATTCTCTGTTAATCTACTTTCATGAACTGCACTAAAACACTTAAAGAACTCAAACCCAGTTTGCTTTTTGTTTTTATTTATTTATTTTTTTTTTAAGGAGGCATCCATCTTCATGAATGGTTAACTTTGATGCAGTTAACTTGTTTAACAAAGAATCACAAGCATAGATTTTGCACATCTTATGAAATAAACTAAAAAAAAAATGATTCTTTTACATTCAAATAAACAAATTATTCTCGTGAAACATTTTGTATGTGAACAGCAAGATTTTCTTCCACAAGACCTGTATATATATATATATATATATATAGCAACAGGAGGAAGGCTGAGTTATAGTCAATTCTTTCTCTGGTGTTATTTAATACATTGACCTAGACTTTTATAAACTGACTTTAAAAACACCTATTTGAACCTTTTGATTGAGTTTACATGAATAATTATCTTTTTAATATCTGACTTCATCAATTATTTAGATACATCACTCTGTGTTTTCAAATTAGACTTGTTCACAATTATTTTTGAAAATTATATTAATTTCCTTTTTTTAAAAAATATTTTTTTTTATAGAAGACAGTTTGAGAATTTGTGTTTAGAAAACTAATATACATGAGGTTGTTTGAATTTTAATTCAAACCACTTGTACCTTAAAGTGTTAAGTTTTTTGTTTTCAACATCAATCACTGATCCTAGAAATCTAAACAAATAATTAAAATATCTAAACAGTACCTTACAGTAGTAACAACTACCTATCTTATAAAACCCTAATTTACTTAAACTAGTTTTTTCATCTTGGCTGTTATAGTCATAAGATATTGCTGTTGTAACCTTCAGTTTTCTTCAGATGTCTCTTATAGTTGATTATTTTCCTGGAATTTTGGATCAAGTCCTTTATTCAGTCTAGCAGGATTGATTGTTCTCATATTGCAGCTCATGTTAGGATATCTCAGAGATTATTTCTAGTTAATTTGTTTTTGTAATATTACTTGTCTCTTTTGTTGAACCAGAGTCTATATGATGTTTTGCACTACCCAAATAATCTCAGGTATCTAGATTCCCTTAACCAACGTTTTGCTCTTGTAGGTCATGTGTCCGATGAGACGATTTAGTGCTGGAAACTAGAGACCTTGAACTGAATGCTACCTTTTCAACTGAACTAGAGTATATGACTTTACCCTAGTTCTTTAATCTTAGACCAAACATTCTTTTTTTAATTAAAGACTCCCATATGGTGTTCATTTCTTTGCTAGGCCTAAGAATTAACTGATATATATCCTCTAACATAGATGTTATGAATCAATCAATGTATGATAATTCTTTATTTAAAAAATTCAAGCATATATATACATATATACAGTCAACAACAAAATTATTCGTACACCCATTAATTGAATATTTTTATCCATTTCTCAGAATCTAATGTCCAGATGATGCCAGGATTTTATATGTTAATAAGCACACAAAAGGAATATAAAACTCAATTTTCAGAACAATAGATTGAATACAACAAATTTGACAGGTGAATTCTGCAAAATAGGAAAAGACAATTTATTCTACTGTACAAATAATTAAGGTTAAGTCAATCTAGGGTAGGGGTGCCTTTTCAAATGAATGATGACAACTGTTCAACGCATGTCATCTGGTCTTTTTCAATGATAAAGTTTTTCAGCACTTTTGTTTTGCTGTTAAATTTGTACTTGTATACATAAAGATTTTTTTACTAAAAAGGTTGTTTGCATATGAATACGTTGTATTGAACTACAATTTTAAAATATTCTTAATTTTAATAAAAGACTTTACATTTTTTAAAACAAATGTAATAGAATTACTTAAATTATTTAAAAATTATTATTTAAATATCAAACGTAAATATGTATATTTCATTTATCAGTTTTTTTAATTTAAACATTACTTAAGGAAAATTTTTGACAATGTCAGCAAAGAATAGCTATTTCATTTCTTTGATCAAATAAATTTTCATTTTTTTATAAGCCTTAGTAATATATAGTTTTTCATGTATGCACAAAGGACATGGGTCATTTAATGACCTACATATTTAGCTTTTCTTATTAATTTCCATTTTTTGAGTAGGTAGTTTTATTGGTTTCTTTTAAAACACAGAAATATTTCAGAAGGGAAATGATTTGGTGTTTATTTATCCTAAAAGAACTTTTTAAAACTGTATTTTGAACTCATGTCTTGTGCATCAATGTAGACTTTTTACATTGTCAATCCTCAATGGATGGGATATTGCATTGGTATACTAATGATTCAGTGCAAATTTATTATTAAGAGGACAGTTAGGATTTCTGTTTACAGAATTTTTTTATTTATATTCA